GGAACTGAGCAGGAATGTATAGATAAAATGTTTTATAAGACATGATAAAATGTCAGGCTGGGTGCAGTGGCTCACATCTGTAATCCCAGTACTTTGGGAGGCTGAGGTGGGTGGATCACTTGAGTCCAGGAGTTCGAGACCAGCCTGGGCAACATAGGGAGACCCCCCCCCCATCTCTACAAATAATATGAAAAATTAGCCGGGTGGGATTGTGCGAGCCTGTAGCCTCAGCTACTTAGAAGACTGAGGCGGGAGGATCGTTTGAGCTAGGGAGGTTGAGGCTGCAGTGAGACGTGATGGTGCCACTGCACTCCAACATGGTTGACAGAGAAGACCCTGTCTCAAAAAAACAGAACAAAAAGACAGGCTAGAATGTCATCAAATATTTTCCACACAAGTCAATTTTTAAAATGTGCTATAAAAAACCTTGGGTATACCCAAGGATACCACCACCACCAGACATATATTGATACATAACTCATATATATTTATCTCTAGCCCTGGTGCTCATGAGACTGATCTAAGAAAAAAAAAAAGGCAGGAGTGGGGAACTAATGCTTTAGGTTTATTGTTTGCACATTTTCCGTAACTCTCTGGTCTACCTGTCCCATACCTTACACCTATTAGAAAGAAGAATCTGAAAATATAATTTTGGGTGGATCTCTTAACGGTCTAAAATGAAAATCTGAACTATATTCAGAGAAATCAGTGGCGATTATGCTACTTCTAGTGAAAGAGTTTAACTAAAGTCAAACAAAAACATTCCAAGGAATACATTTGTTTACATGTAAAATATTTCCCCTAACAAAATGATATATACAAATAAATATGTCCTCTCCCTTCCCAAGATAAATGCTGTGTTAAAGTCAACGTGTATCATTGGTAACAACTTACTGTCGGGGGAATGTAATGCAAGTTAATATGTTGAAAGTTTATAGGAAGACAGGAATTCTTGTATACATTCAAGTGAAAATAAAATGATTTCACTCTTTAGCAAAACAAATAGATGCACCATTAAAGCATACAAATAAAAGAGAAGAAAAAAGAGTAAATGTTGCAAAAACATATTTCTTATACAGGTTAGTGTTTAGTTTATAAACAGATGAAGCATGCAGGTGCATAGTTCACAAACAAATAAATAAGGCTTTGCGATCT